TATGTAGTTTTATTTATTCGTGGGTCGATTTAATTGTAGAAGCAGACGTGCATATTAGGTTTGGTAGACAGCGGCTTGGCTCTGCCCCTGGCATTGCTGCAGTCCATGGGCGACGGTAACCACTCGCCATCAGGTGGGCCGTATGCTCGTCTGCCTACAAGGGCAATAAAAAAAAGCATAGCTAATAGAATCCCGCGGTATGAGCCGCATTTTTTAAATTGGGAAACAATATTACTATGGATTTTTAAGAGTTAATAATGTTAGGCCCGTACTGGTAACGCCATCTATCGGCAAATAGCAAAACAGGTATCGAAACAAATGGAACATCTCTTGAATGTTCTGGAACATTGTAGATATAGTCGAAATAGCTATGAAAATGTGGCACAGTGGACATGAAGACGATTTCTAATCGAAACGATATACAGATTACTTCAAATAAGCGTAGAAGTGCATTGTTTTAGTTAAGTCTACCTTAATTGTCGTAAAAAATAAATGTGATTTTTTAATTGATATTTCGGTGAGGTGTTTTTATTTATCCTGGGCCCCGTTATTTATCCTGGGTCTCGTAGCAACAGAAAGCCCAGTTCAACAAACGGAATCAATTATGTAACTAACTCCGTTTCTGCTTAAAAAACCACTAGATACACTTTTCCGTCTATTTATTTTTAACAACATACTAGGCGTAAACACAGCTAACAGTTAGTTCAAAATTTTATAAATTTACTGACAGTGGGAATATTTGTCTCAAGATTATTACACTGGGATTCTTATCTATGTATCATAGTCTGCTACTCTTAACACAACAGGCGTGGTCATATGGAATTCTTGTTTATTGACAGCTGTTCTCCATAATTCTTATGTACACAACATCATTTTCTGAATCTGAAATAATGATGTCACTATATAATATAGCTAAGCGCGAATTACTAATCGCGCCTCTATAAAATTTAATATAGAACAATATTAAGATAGTTAGTTGTTCAGTTTATTTAGCAAAAAAAAAGTTTTTACTTGTAAAATAACTGGTGGTAGGACCTCTTGTGAGCCTGCACGGGTAGGTACCACCATCCTGCCTATTTCTGCCGTGAAGCAGTAATGCGTTTCGGTTTGAAGGGTGGGGCAGCCGTTGTAACTATACTTGAGACTTTAGAACTTATATCTCAAGGTGGGTGGCGCATTTACGTTGTAAATGTCTATGGGCTCCAGTAACCCCTTAATACCAGGTGGGCTGTGATCTAGTCCACCCATCTAAGCAAAAAAAAACTTCAAAGCATTACCCCTTCTGATTTTTGTATTCTTAGTCGTATCGATAACCGCCCCACGGCCTCAGTCCCGCCCATCGCCTCGTCTACATAATCACTAAATTACCGTATCGCTTTTTCTTAAGCGAAACTCGAAAAAATAAATACTTAACTGGTTCACGACCGAAACGAGGAGTTAAAAACAATTTTTTGAGCGCCGACGTCCGCGCAGGGTTGCGCAGCGTATAATAAAATAAACGTATTGACAAAAGTCGCTTAAAGTTGAAAGCCTAATCAAAAATTAACTTAAGCTGTTCTTTGATGTTAACACACTCGTCTAACTTAAAAACTGAAAATAGAATTTGAATGGTGCGATGCGCTAAGAATAATATAGATGTCTATAGTTATTGCAACGTACGAGCGCGCGTGGCCTTTACTTGTAGTTGTAATCGTAAATATACGTTTTCGTTAGTGTGTGTACATAAATAAATACATCAACATTTAAACACATATATTATTTATTTTTTATAATGCTATATTCTAAACCATTCAGGGTGCCACCCAAACGCATACAAAACAAATCGTTCAAATCGGTCCAGCCGTTTAGAAGAAGTTCAGTGACAAACACACACATAGAAGATATATATAAAGATAAAACACTATATATATCATCATCATCATCACCATCAGCCTATAGCAGCCCACTGCTGGACGTAGGCCCCTCCAATTGCACGCCATTGAGCACGATCCTCGGCTTCTTTCATCCAGTTCCTGCCAGCCACCCTGCACAGATCATCACTCCACCGAGCCTAAAGGCGCCCTGCACTGCGTTTCCCAATTTGCAGTCTCCACTAAAGAACGCTTTTACTCCAACGGTTATCAGTTGTCCGGCTAATATGGTCAGCCCATTTCCACTTCAGCTTACTAATACGCTGATCTATGTCGATAACTTTGGTTCTCTGTCGAGTCACCTCGTTCCGGTTTCAATCTTTCAGAGAAATTCCAAGTATAGTCCTCTCCATAGCTCGCTGAACGACTTTAAACTCAATAAAACTTAAATGTAAACGTTTTAAAATAAAAAAATAAAAAAAATTGGAGTTGAGAAGCGGCCGCCTCGAACAAAGAAGAGATGAAAGAAGAAGAAAGGATCAAGAGAGAAGAAGAGATGAAAGAAGAGTTAGTCCCACCCATAATAAACTCAAGCCTGCCACTCACCAACCTGCAGTACATCACCCCTGCCTCTATAGGCAGGGTGTCACAAGCCCGCGCAGAGGGGTTTCCCTGAGGCCTGTCCCGCGCCCCGTCAGAGGACTCGACGACCCGATAGGGCTTTACTATAAATAAACTAACGTTGTTATAAGGACAAACACATGATCGGATTGCTGATTAATCTGTTATTTCCGTAACAACTGGCAACGGTCACAAGGCTTGTCCATATAAAATCTACGATGTAAAAAATCAGAAAGGATATGTTTAACATATTCTGAATAGCATAACCCTGGACGCATAAATCAATCACAAACTGGTTTACATTGCAGCTGATGGAAGATTGACGTATCCCAAATAAGGCAGTTTCTCCATTAAAGACCTGGTTGATATATTTACGTAAAATAATAAAATTATACGAAACGAAAAAAAATATATACTTGTTATGTGTAAACAAAATTGTGGTGTAATTAATTATTATTTTTTATTGCTTAGAAGGGTGGACGTGCTCACAGCCCACCTGGTGTTAAGTGGTTACTGGAGCCCATAGACATCTACAACGTAAACGCGCCACCCACCTTGAGATATAAGTTCTAAGGTCTCAGTATAATTACAACGGCTGCCCCACCCTTCAAACCGAAACGCACTGCTTCACGACAGAAATAGGCAGGGTAGTGGTACCAACCCGCGCGGACTCACAAGACGTCCTGCCACCAGTAAACCTTGACCGCCGGATTTCATGGCACTGACGCATTGCTTGATACCGGTATACCGGAATCTTACCCTGTATAGAACCATAGAGTAAAAAATTCCGTTAGCTATATAATATAATCCTTGATTCATAATTCTATGACCCATTTACCTACGAACAATTTTTTGAAACCATTTATTTAGTTTCTTAAACGAAGCCAATGAGCAAAGACTTATCCTCTCACCATTTGATTAAAGTTATTATAAAAATCAAAAACAAATTAAAGTAAACTTTTAAAATGAAAAATTAAGTTAAAAACTTAATAATTATTAAATTTATTTTATATAGTATATAGAGCGGTTCTAAGTCGCGACCTCATACATGTCAACATGTGGGTATCTATACTAACTATAATTATTATCTGTTTAGTAAAACTTGTTTAATACAGTAAAGGTCTCAAAAGCCCTAGAGCAACATGAAATTGTTGTAGAATGACTACGTGCACCATTAATTTGTTGTCTGCGTAAAATAGTTCATTGAACTTTTGAATAAATAAATTATTTTTATATTGTGTATTTGAATATTGGACTGACTAATTATTATTTTTATGAATTTCTAAGTATTGACCTATTTATTTATAACACTGTCGATGTGCATGTAACACTCAACCTATAATAATAACCTTAGTCGTAATTACTAAAAGTGTGTATATGAAATGTCGGAAAAACTTATGGTTTATACTTTTTACTGGTGGTAGGGCCTCTTGTGAGTCCGCGCGGGTAGGTACCACCACTCCGCCTATTTCTGCCGTGTAGCAGTAATGCGTTTCGGTTTGAAAGGGTGGGCAGCCGTTGTAACTATACTTGAGACCTTAGAACTTATATCTCAAGGTGGGTGGCGCATTTGCGTTGTAGATGTCTATGGGCTCCAGTAACCACTTAACACCAGGTGGGCTGTGAGATCGTCCACCCATCTAAACAATAAAAAAAAAACTTATCCTGACCGCGACGGGGCAACGCAATGCCGCCTTCGCCCGAAACGTGTCTTGTCAGATCCCCCGGATTTACTCTCGGTGATTTTAGGACCCTCAAGCACCGATCAGCGTCCTCGTCGAGCTCTTCGATTAGAGTTCTAGCGAACTGACTCATAGATAGTTCACTGTGTTTCTCGCCGGATCTTCTCAGTGGCTCGCGATTCCGATCCGGTGGTAGATTTTACGAAGCACTACTCTTGCCAGGGCCAGTGTTAGCAAATTCTCTCAGGTTTATCTCGTGAGCTCACCTACCCGTCCGGACGTAATTGGAATAGCCTCTTAGGCTACCAGTGAATTGGTAGGGTTTCTGGGCTCCGGTAATCACTTAACACCAGGTGGACTGTGAGCTGATCCATCCAATTAAGCAGTAAACAAAATATTAATAATAATAAAATATTAATATTTCTATTAAGAATGACTTGATTGAAGATAATTTTTAGAACGCTTACATATGAGACCAAAAAAGTACTATTATCTAGAAAAGTTTTTATTATTATTATTACTAGATGATGACCGAGCTTTGATCGTTTTTTTTTTTTTGATAACGCCATCTTTTTGTGTCTTTAAAGCGGTTAGTTGCCCTCAATTAAGAAAAATTGTATTATTATTCGCCAATAGATGTCGGGAAGAGTTGATTATTGAAAACACGAATAAAACAACATTTTCTGAAAATAAATCGTAGCTAAATCGATTTATCGCCCCCGAAATCCCCTGTATACTACATTTTATGAATATCGTTGGAACCCTTTCCGAGATTCAGATTATATATATACAAGAATTGCTCGTTTAAAGGTATAAGAAGATAAGATTTGTTTTTTTTTGTCCTCAGGTCTGCCAGCCTGACATAAATTGCTCATTACCGGAGTATCGTTGGAAGTACATTGAAGTCTTCGAATGCTTGGGCGAGAACAAAAAGCTGCTTAAGGAGATGCGGCTGTCGTTTCCGAGCGGGCACTCATCGTTCGCAACGTTTACCATGCTCTATTTCTGTGTAAGTCTTGAGGAAGAGGTAGACCTAAGAAAAATTGGATGGATTGTGTGTGTGATTGTGGAAAGACGAATTTTTTTTTAATAACTTATATGGGTGGACAACCTCATAGCCCACCTTGTGTTAAGTGGTTAATGGAGCCCATAGACATCTACAACGTAAATGCCACCACCCACCTTGAGATATAAGTTCTAAGATCTCAGTATAGTTACAACGGCTGCCTCACCCTTCAAACCGAATTACTGCTTCACGGCAGAAATAGGCAGGGCGGTGGTACCTACCCGCGCGGACTCACAATAGGTCCTACCACCAGTAATTACGCAAATTTGAATTTTTGCGGGTTTCATTTTTATTACACGATGTTATTCCTTCACCGTGGAAGTCAATTGTGAACATTTGTTGAGTACGTATTTCATTAGAAAAATTGGTACCCGCCTGAGATTCGAACACCGGTGCATCGCTCAACACGAATGCACCGGGCGTCTTATCCCTTAGGCCACGACGACTTCAAAAGGTACTGCCACCAGTAAAACTCATTCTAATGCTTTTACCACAGATTTACCTTCAGAAGCGTTTTACGTGGCGCGGTTCTAAACTGCTGCGTCACGGTATCCAGTTCATCCTGCTCACGTTCACTTGGTACACGCTGATGACCCGCGTCTCCGACTATAAGCACCACTGGAGCGACGTTCTGGCCGGTTTCAGTATTGGAATTATATACGCATTTGTTATTGTAAGTAAAATTTAATAACTTCATTTTTTTTTCTAATTTATTGCCGGTATAGGCAGACGAAGCACACGGCCCACCTGATGGTGAGTGGTTAGCGTCGCCCATGGACTTCAGCAATGCCAGGGGCAGAGACAAGCCAAGGCCTAAAGTTAAAATTTTTTTTTTTTTTTCGTACAAATAAATTCCATTACACTAATGAAAAACTCAAAACACACTGGTACTAATTTAAAAAAAAAACGATTTAGTTGGTAAACTTATCTTTGAAGTCGGTTAATAAATTGTTGTTACTTTAGAAAACGCCCGTTACCGTTGGAATAGGTACATGTCATGTCAAAAATGCCATTAAGATTATGAGCATACATTAGCCCACTGAGTTTCACGCCGAATCTTCTCAGTGGGTCGCGTTTCCGAGCCCTTGGTAGATTCTGCGAAGCAAGGTACTTGCTAGGGCCAGTGTTAGCAACGCCTCCAGGCTTGAGCCCTGAGAGCTCACCTACACGTTAGGGTTACGCTGACATACCTTTTCAATCATCAGGTAGGAAAAAAAAGGCATACATTACGCGTTGTCATTATCACGATCTAAACAAGTATGGTAATTAATCAGACCAAGGTGTAGCAATGCATGTACGACTGCATTACTAAAATAATTATGTATTACGAACATGAAGTAATTTATTTTGCTTAATCATGTTATGTATAAAGGAGATGCATCATAATCTCTTTAGTCTCGCAAAAGTCGACAACATGATTTAAAATAAATAAATTCACAGATTAGTTATTTTTAATCGCAGTTTTAGGCAGACGAGTATATGGCCCATCTGATGGTGAGTGGTTACCGTCGCTCATGTACGTCAGCAACGCCAGGGGTACAGCCAAGCCGCGGCCTAAAGTTTCAAAGTTTTTTTTTTTTTTTTATGTTCCGAATTTTAGTAATCTGCAATAACTAAAACTTAACGTATACGAAAAGCATTAAATAATAGTTTAAAAAAATCATGTGTGCAATTTACACGTGGTAGAAGTGAAACCTTCAAAAAGTTTACTTTCAAGATAATAAGACGAATGTAAAATTTCGGGACGGGGGAGGATAATTGTATGTTTTAGTAATGATCATAGTGATACAAAGTTTGATAATTATATTACATTTTATTCATTACCTACATATTACATAGATTTATTCAGAATGTATTATGTACGAATATTAGGTGCGAACTAGAGCACAAAGAGAACCACGAATATATAAGAAACACTATATAATGCTTCCTATCTAATTTTCTCCCACGTTAAATTTTATGAAATTATGTATCTGTCTCTTTTTACTGTCGCTTTTTCGTTTCATCGAATTTCATATCACAACGATGCTAAATAAGTTTTCACTTCAAAAAACCCTATTTTTTTGCCTACCTATGCTGATAGCCTTGTGAGGCTATGTCAGCTTCACCCTAACATGTAGGTGAGCTTACGGGGCTCAAACCGGAAGTGTTGCTAAGACTGGCCCTAGCAAGAGCAGTACTTCGCCGAATATACTACCGGATCGGAAACGCGAACCGCTGAGAGGATCCGGCGAGAAGCTCAGTGGGCTGTCTATGGGTTCATTTACTCGTCGAGCCCTTCGTCGCAAGCGACAGGTTCGACGAGTACGGTGACCGGTGCTTGTGGTACCCCGTTAATGGATCGGGAGGATCCGTAATGACGTTAATATACCCAATAAGCTATACACGTTGAATTTCTTTTCAGTACGCTTGCGTCTCGAATCTCCGTAAGACTCGATCCTGCCGCTCCCACAACCACCACGAGGCAGAACTCCACGTGACCAACGGAAACAGCCACCCTCGCGTCCAAGTCTGACTAACAAATGTTGACAGCTCGCGATCCGGCAGCGAGGTGTCGTGATGTCAACCGAACATATCGTGGATCTCCCATGAGTATCTCGATACATAAGATTAATGGAATTTCGGAACATTAACGCAGTGAATATTTAAAACGCTATATTATCGTTGCATATTGTGTGGCTGTAACAAGTAAATAGCACGTATGGATGTGTGACGCAAAATCGCGTTAGATTAGAGTGCTCTTCCCTCTCAGTTAGATTTGACACACGTCAAATCTGACATGTGTCATTTTTGACAGATACTTTATTCACCTGAACGGTCGCTGCACGGTCAGGAAATGCAATGGCTCGTTACAATATTAAATTAAAATCTTATCTTATCTATAAAATTTTCAGCTCTTTTAACAAACAAGTTTAAGGAACTTAATTAAAGAATTCTTGATTACTCAATGTTGTTCAATAAGAGAGTCTTCGCGTATTTAAATAGAAGCCGTTGGGTGGATGAATCTTATGAGAGAACAATTAGATGCCTTTATGGTGAAGTTGCCATTAGATCCTGCAAGAAAAATTAATGCTAATATATATTAAATTATAGTATACTCGTAATATTAGTTAAATTCAAATGTTGTCAATGCAAAGATTATAATCGTTACGAAAACTAAAATTGTAGACAGTTAACAATGTAATTGAAAATTGTATTTAAAAAAAAAAACATTTAAATTTTCCTACAAACATTCTTGATAGCATTTTCTCGATAGCGCACCGTTCGAATTTTATTTATCTAAACAACGATCATTCGTTAATGACAAAGTAGTAAAACCAACTGTCATTAGTCGCTTTTTAAAAGGTTTGAAAATGTATCTCTCGAGTATTTTAACGTTTCCGCCATCAGAACGATGGGCAGTTAAAGTTACTTAAAGGTAAGAAATTACAGAGTTTTAAAGAGAATGCGTAATAAGACGGACGATAAAGATGGTCTCACATGAATATGTCATGTCTGAAGGTATTAAGCGGAATAGATAAAGCAGACACGGGCTTCCAACGGTCGTGAGTAACGTGACTTGTGTTATCACAAAAAAAAAAAAAACTAAACACTATTTATTCATGTACATATCAACTGGATTTTTGTTTGTCGAAGCTAAATCTGTTTTAGGCATTAAAATGTTTCCATTGCCTCTGTTAGATGGAGGAGTTAATGGTTCTCTTTGAAAGAATATAATATAGTCTTTAGAACAATTCAGGAGATCACATTTTATTATTGTCAATTACGCGGCCAATTTTCTTTTTAAAAAAAAAACCTTTGAAGGAATGTGAAAGCTATTTATCGAAACGCATTTAGTTGAGACATTTTTTATTGCTTAAGTCGTAGATAAAACATAATCTGGATTATCATTAGTAGCGATTTTTTTATACAATTTTTTTTTTGTTAAGATTTGCATATATTGGAAACATTAATCTCGTATTAGGAGTACATAATGTATATTTATTTTCTAGATCTGTTATTGCTTTTATTGTCTTAAAACTGAGGCAGAGGGTTTTTTTTTCATTATTTTTAATCGCTCACACCAGGGAATTAGTATAGAAACCGAAACAACAATGATATGCAACCTCAATTAAATCAAAATAATTACAGAATCTAACGAAAGTAAACCTTATCTCTAGTGGAATTGTTTTCATTTTATAGTAGAGAAATAACATTTTCTATTTTGAAAATAGATTATGTTTGAACGCATGCATTGAACATGTTTATTTTATATTAATACTTTTTTTTTATAAATCGGTCAAAAATAACATATTTATGCGTGTAACTAATAATTGACGAAATATTTTATTTGTGTTCCTAAAAAAATGAAGTCGACCTAAACTTATTATTCTCGTGTTCTTTTTTTATATTTAATAAGACAATGCAATTTTTTTTTGTACATTTTAAAGGTATATATAGAAAATATTTAGACAGTACGAAGATATCGTTGTATTTTAGTTTTAATTTTTACTGTTGTAAATTTGTAGTTTTATGAGAGCTCATTTTTATTTATTTTAATTTCATCATTATATTATCTGCCTGACAAGTTTATTGCAGCATAAGCTAGGGCCCATTAAAATATTTTATTGTCTTACCTAATCGTTGGTAAGGAGTTATTCCAGCAATGCACAGATGGGTAGGTGAGCTCACGGGCTCAACCTGAGATAATCCGCTAACACTAGCCCCAACAAGAGCAGTGCTTCTCTGAATCTACTACCCGATCAAAGTGGTGATCCACTGAGAAGATCCGGAGAGAAACTCAATGTGTTGTGTATTTTGCATTAAAACCACTACTACTTAAAATTTTGGCTTTTTGGGAATACTGTATCATATTTACCGATACGTTAGAATAGAACTCCAAACATACATATAATATTATATATTTGGCTATTACCATAGATCTGTCACATAGCAATCTGTTTTCACAATGACATTTTGTGTTTCTTCTTTCGTAACGTTTTTATATGAAGGAAATATTTCTCAATGTGCTATCAAAATTTTGGGCAATTAAATACAATTACCGATTACACTTATTACAAAAAAAAACGTCGAATTCTTTTTAAGCTTCTCATATCTCAAGCCTTATAGAATTTGTAAGAAATATCCTTTTAAATTTGTTCTTCTTATATTACCAATCGATCGTATGAATTCATATCAAATAAATCAAAGAATCGGCTCGTCATAAGCGCTGATGTGGCGAGATACGATACGGTCACCAGCGCATCTCAGACTCCGTCACCCACTTTAAGAAACTCTAACTGATGCCTTTCAGAAATGGAACAGCCACACTGTTACTCAGAATTTCAATAGACCATAATATTAGATGATAAATTGTGATTCGTGAACTCTTAAAAAAAATACTTTACGGCTTAAAATTATGCATACTAAAAATGTATTCTTCATATAAGCATTTATTTATTATAGTTTTATTGATGGAGACAATAATATTGACAATATTAAGATAAATATACTATTGGAGACCATATATTGTCTACACACTGTCTGTATTTGTAATAAATAAATATTGAATTGCCGTTTTAAACTTGTTAGATGAAATACACTGATATTGTCTTGAAGACAGCTATGACAGCGTATTTACTCTGTGATATTATATGTATATAAATATATACATATTACAGAATACATTATACATAGTACATAAGAATAGGTGCTTTAGTGGTAAACATTTCATAATATGATATTATATTGTTTATTATTATGTATATAATATTTTTATTGATATTATTAAATTTACACATAATATCAGGGAAATGCTTTAGAAAAATAGTAAAGATAGTCTTAAAGTATGAATTAAGAAATATTTTGAATGCATTTTACTTTTGCATTCACGTATTTAGTCGTAATTGCTTCGTTTCTTTTGTTTTAAATATCGACTCTAAAGGTTACCTCGATAGTGTTCAATTTCGGGTAGTCAAGTTTTTTTTTACTTCCGAACACTGATATGAGTTATTAAACCGCTCAAAGTTTAGCTACGCTCATCTTTTGTTGTAGTTAAAATCGTTTAGGCTTTTTTATTGCCCTTGTAAGCAGATGAGCATACGAACCATTTGCCACTGCCTATCATGTAGCAATCTTGCTTGCTTGGCTTGGCAACCAGTCAGCGTTGTCTTCTATTGCATGCTTAGCTGAGTAATTTGTATAATAAAGAAAGAAAAAATAAAAATAAAGCTTGCTTTTTTAATAGAACACCAAATTAAACATTCTAGTAATATTTTTTTATCCTGGTAATCTTGGACCGGTTATTGGACTAAAGTAACGAAAATTATGTATATTATTATCATCGATCCTTGTATGAAAAGTATCAAATTAATTGGATAAATTTAAAAATTTCGTAACATACATACATAGATCAGGCCAATATGTTAAAATAGTTTACAAACAAGGAGAATGCGTTTTGGCAAACACAATCATCCCAAGCTAGATGAGTTTACTAGTGCAGTGGTGCTGTTATATGAGTCGTCTATTATCAAAGGTGGCAATCTGTGCATTTGGACAAAAAAATGTTATTGATATTTCAATACAGATTGATTTGAATATAATCGTCTCCTTCGAAGAATACGGTTCAAAACCTGCATTAAATAAAGGTTAATACTTAACCTGTTATTTATCTAAGATGTCGTTCAGAAGAGTTTTGTGACTGCCAATGGAATACAAAGTCAATAATTAGTTTTTCTGATTTACCAATAATTATCCAAAAGTCACATTGCCGGCTTTGATAATAGTCGACTCATATGACCTACAAATTCGTCACGAAAACAATTTGAATATAACATTATACTGTACTATTATCAGAAATGAACACGACTGCTACTACCCTTGATGATATTGTATATTTAGAGATGCTTACGGACTATATAAATTAGAAATTCCTTCACGTAAAATTCAACCCTAAAATCGATTATGATTTTAGATTCAAAATACGAAAGTATATTACAGTTTTAATATCTCGTTTTAAGTACTAGTAAACTTCAACTCGAAAAAGAATTTTTAAAGTAAAAAAGCCTTACATATTATTTATTCTTTAATTATATGATATTGTGCACCCTTAAATATATAATAGTATGTGTTTAAAACAATGTTAAGACGTATTTAGCACTTTATGTACAAATATTATCGATTTTCGTGTTTTAGTTGATTAATCGATAACTGTTTTATAAACAGCACTATAACTTTTTTAAACAGCAAGCTAATGTTGGAAGACTCACTGAAATGGCGCTAGTGTAGCAAATGGAAATGATAGGAATATAGCAGTTTTAAATAGATTGAAGTGTGCTGGATTGAAGTGAAGTGTGCTAGTTTATGACTCTGCTTTTAAAAATGTTTTTATTGCTTAAATCGGTGGACGAGCTCACAGCCCACCTGGTGTTAAGTGGTTACTGGAGCCCATGAGCATCTACAACGTAAATGCGCCACCCACCTCGAGATATAAGTTCTAAGATCACAGTATAGTTACAACAGCTGCCCCACGCTTCAAACCGAAACGCATTACTGCTTCACGGCAGAAATAGGCGGGGCAGTGGTACCTACCCGCGCGGACTCACAAGAGGTCCTACCACCAGTAAAAATACCACCATTAATCTTTCCACTTGCTACTATGACGCCACATTAACTAACTCCACTTCAGCGGATATTTTTAATACACTAAGATGGTCCTTACTTCTACCCTCCATAACGTGAACAGGCCTAAATTTCTTATTCCAAAATTATTATGTTTTCTCACGTATAAAAAAAAAAACAGCGCCCTGTACGTAGAAAATAAAATAATTAACTTAAGAGACCAATCAGCGTATCAACGCTAGTTTCGGTAGCTTTTTATAGCCAAGTAATATTAAACAAGTAATTTATTCAATAAGAACTCTTTGACAGACTACAACAGCAAATACCTACTAGATTTCGTCAATTTAAATAAATAAAAAAGCATTACACGGTGATACATTACGTGTTCTTAGAAGTTAGCTGTATCTTCTTAATCATAAATACATACTGCGTTATAAGGTTGTCTCTTTCTAACTTTAAAATTGCGAAAACGCATGACAGTGACAGAAACAGCGACATTAGACATAAAGTATTTAATTTTATGATTAAGGAGGGACGGATCGATCGAATGTTGTGAAAAAAAATCGTGCTTGTAAATAAAAAAATAGTTTTGTAAAAACATATAATGCATTGTTTTTAGATTATAAAAAATAGATATTTAATTTTTTGAAAAGGCAACTCTATTTATTGTATTTTAATTTGTATGCATAAACAATAAAGCATAATAAACGTGTTAAGATATTATCGATTTTTATTTTTGTGTTATTTCAGATTTTCTTTTTTTATTGCATAGTCAAGTGACTGGGATGTTGGTGAACATCTGTTAATAAGTTGATACCATGAGCTCACACTATAATAATCACTACGTCAATGTCACAGCCATAATGCGAGTTTGTTTTTGGATTCCCGGACGGGGTTTTTTGAGTATCACTGAAATTATAACACTAAAAATTATGTTTAATATTTTCAGTACACTTGACACCTCTTTATCGCCTTAAGTAAAAATATTAACTGTCCATAACTTTTTTTATCGATTTTTTTTTATTTAACGAACGCAAAAGAACTTTAAAACATAATTCAGCTCGCCATCTGTGATACGCGTTCACAAATTCCGGTCAAACTACGCGGTTCATTTTTTAAAAAGATTCACGAAACGAATAACAGATGGCGCTATTCCGAATGTCATTAAGATTGTTAATGTCATTACGAATTACCTTCATCTTTATTGCAATGTTTTTGCATTCAATCACCTCCAATGTTAATAATGAACACTATTCGTGATAAAAACGAACGCGAAGACGTCTCTTAACAAGAAGCGGTGCTTTTGCAATGTCTGATGACACACGTCTGCCAACACATAGATTACTCATTTTATCAGTTTAGCGAAGCCTTTTATCGCGAAGTGTCGTTCCTACATTGCTTTTAACAAAAATTAACATTAAAAGGATACGTTTTTATGAACTATGCCACAGTTTTACAATGGCTGTTGATAGATTAATATGGAAAATTATTGTGGATTTCGTTGTGCTCGCGTGCGGTAAGTGATCTATGCCATAATACGCTAACTTAAATTAGGTCCACTGCCGTAATAATTTGTTTGTATACCTGTCCTTCTTTATTACTACGCGACGGATAAAGATAGCTAAGTCTAAGTAATACGAAAGTAAAATGCATTAGAACGAAAGGTCAGAGCAATATGATTAATTCTCGGTAAAGGTAGAACAGATATTTGTTTTAAAGCTTTCAATATAAAGACTTTGCAAAATTATAATCGACGAGTTCAACGCAGCCCTACCAAGTGCATTTGAACATTTTTATATTTCTGACAGGTGCAAAGGGTATTTATTCAAGGGACCAGCACGCACCAGACCCTTCAACTAACGGTTTTTTTAACCAAATACTTTACATACGAACGAATAAATTAATAATATGATTAGTAGAAATATAAAAACCGCTCTCCAGCTATAAAAGAACTGTACACGGGAGCCAAATGTTCCGCTAAAAATAGCGGTTTTTTTTTGGTACTTCTCACTGCAATCTGGCAAATGCATTCCAGTACCTAATCTATACGTTCATGTTATTAATAATGATACAACTCATTTTAGATTTTATGACATTTTGCTTTGAGTAAGTACATACATATATATCTTTCCTTTTTTTTATTCAATTCTTCGCTTTTAAAAAATTCTTCATTTTATTCCGCTTACGTGTCCGTTCGATATTATACTGAATCATGGGTATAAACTAACAAAATATCAATTATCATGTCAGTAAACTTAGATAAGTCGGTTATTGCATTCAGTTGCAATAACTGTGCAATGGCTTTCGAAGAAAATCGAAACACTCGTGTCGTGAGAAATGATGGTAAATTACACAGCCGACCAACAAAAAAAGAAAAATTGAAGTTGGTGCTGAAATAAGGAAGTTCCAAGCTTAATTTCATGGTAGACGGAACGCATCGCGCTGTAGTGACGTATAAGTTTACGTCAGCAAAACGCTGGGGTTAGGGTGTAAGCTCGCTCGGACGATACCTACATAAAATTTTACGCATACCTAACATTACATTTCTAAATTTCAACGCCAATTAATATGGATGCGCAATGGCTCTTTTTTGTGCATTAGCGACGACCAATTCTTTTGGTTAAGTTAAAAAACAAGAAATCTATTTTTTTTTAGTTTTTTTTATTGCTTAGATAGGTGGACGAGCTCAAAGCCCACCTGGCGTTAAGTGGTTACTGAAGCCCATAGACATTCACAACGTAAATGCGCCACCCACCTTGAGTTCTAAGGTCTCAAGTATAAATACAACGGCTGCCCCACCCTTCAAACCGAAACGCATTACTGCTTCACGGCAGAGATAGGTGGTACCTACCCGCGTGGTCCCGCCGCCCACCAGTAATTACGCAAATTATAATTTTACGGGTTTGATTTTTTATTACACGATGTTATTCCTTCTCCGTGGAAGTCAATCGTGAATATTTGTTGACATTTGTAGATCAGTTAATGTTTTAATATTATTAGAAAATGATCCAAAACTTATTAACTAGAATGTATTTAAAAAAGTCCTCAATGTACTTAGTGTTTTGTTGACGTAGTAAAATCGCGAATAACTTGAAATCGTTAACAAAAAAAAAAGTCCTGTGACAAAGGTAAATAATAGGATACATTCTTCAAATATCTACTATTTCAAATATCTACTATAACTTTGTTTTAAATCACGGACCTACATATTATTATGTAGTTTTAACTTGTTTTATCTAGTCGATTATATAAATTTAAATTGTATCAACAGATATAGGAATTTAATTTCGTTTTTAATAATTATAAAATTTTACGTAATCCAAATACTTATATATTCATGATTTCACACGTAGCGTTGTTGGTTACAAAAGAAACTTACTTAATATCAATCGACCTTGTTACAATTGCAATAGTTTATTATTATTATTATTTGAAATCGATTTTAGCCATTCAATATTAAATAACCTATATAAAATAATGCTAATCGCTGATTTGCATGTTCGAAGGTCGCCATATAATATAAAACACATTAAAATAAATATTAAGTTTGAAGGCGGAGCAAAAAACATTTTTTCGCGGTTAGACTCATGTTTTTGAATTTAGATACGGATGCGGTAAAGATAATAACGTAACATATAGCCAATATATTTATTTAATATAAGGTTGATAGTTACTAGGTAATGTGAGTCATAGAAGAGTTGGACTACTTGATTCTATCCGTCTACCGAATAAGGAAAGGCAAGATTACGCAAACACAAAAACCATTCAATGCCAGAACCTTTCATTTTTATCTGATCAGAAACAGATTGATTTTGTATTATTTCTTTATTGTTTTATAATATAGAGTTAGTGGACATAAATTTCAAAAATGTTTCTATCAGTCCGAAAAGTTAACTTTTAATTTAGTCGTATAATATCATCCTTTCAAAAAAGTGAAGACATTATTATGGCAGTGATGTCAATGAACTCGTTGGAAATATGACGTAAAGCTAGACAAAAACTCATATACTTATGCAAATATTGGTTTGTTTAGTTGATTGTAGATAAATGAAAACCTTTGTATATAATGGCTGTTATATTTTTATACTCTTATGTACCTACGAGTGAGAACTATCGCTAACTTTATTGATTTCACAATTTGTAGTGAGAGTTTAATATCTGGCATTATGAAACTATTTCCCTTGACCGTGAAATTAAAATGAATATGTGCAGAAGCGGTCCAGGTCTGTGCTTCATGTACATAACAAGGTAGATAGATAAATGGCTTTTTGGCGAGAACGGGATGAGCGAAGTTATTCAAAAACACCACTGAAATCTCAGGCAGATAAATAGATTCCTCAGGCATCTGATGGATCCATTAATCCAGATCCTTAGCATTAGATGCTTTCAGCTCTAACACTAGGAGCAGGCTTAAGGACACTGATAACCATACTCGTCGAACTCGGCCAAGAATTCGACTTGCAGGCTAACCCATGCGTCAGCCCACTGAGTTTCTCGCCGGATCCGGATTCCGAACCAGTAGTAGATTTATTCGTGAATCAGCTACCCTTGAGTTGTTAGTTCTCCTCACAAAGGCGCTCGGGCAGCTGTTAGCAAATCCCATCCCTCCTGGCTGTGGCTTTGCTCGCCCACCTGTCCTGGTGAAACTGGAAAGGCTTCCAAGACCAGTAAGTAATCCTTAATTAAAAAAAAAAAAAAACAATAAACATATGTCATTGAGCTAACGGCACGTTAACATTATATTAATTGTAAAAATACGATTATATGCGATAATAATTTACAAGACAAATATGCGAAGACTCGTTGGTTCGACTCTATTGTCAGGAAAATTGAAAAAAAACAACCTGCTATAATTGAATTGCTAAGAGTACTTACTTTCCAATAAGGAAAGATCANAAAAAAAAAAACAATAAACATATGTCATTGAGCTAACGGCACGTTAACATTATATTAATTGTAAAAATACGATTATATGCGATAATAATTTACAAGACAAATATGCGAAGACTCGTTGGTTCGACTCTATTGTCAGGAAAATTGAAAAAAAACAACCTGCTATAATTGAATTGCTAAGAGTACTTACTTTCCAATAAGGAAAGATCAACGTACTTTAAATTGTTATTTAAATAACGAAAATGTCAACAATGACGGCTGATAAATGATTCGTGAATCGTTCGTGATTATAAATGATATATTTTACATTCCGAAACGTTTTTCCGTAGTTATTTCATTCGATTATAATGAGTAATGAAATTAATATTTTATCTGTGCTTTAAATTGATTGTTTATCAGTTATAGTCACGTGTATGTTTTCCAATAAAAATGGAATTGCACATTTCAAGTGATCAGTTATCCTTGAAATTCAAGTTGGAAAGTTCATGAACTTTTCGTGTGTTGGGTACAACGTATAATATGACAAAGCGCGTGTGGTCAGATGTTCACAGCGCACTGATTTTCTCGCCGGATCTTCACAGTGGGTCGTAATTTGGATCCAGCGGTAGGTTCTGCATTTCGGCTCGCACTGCGGTACCGTAAGTCTCGTGTAGTCGGTGTGGTGGAGCTCGATGGGGCTTAGTCGGTAGTAGGTTCTACGGGGCAAGTGCTTCGCGCGCCTTTTTCAAGGCGTAGTCTTCTGTGAGAAATTGGGGGAGGTGAAGGACCTCGGCCCTTCTCTTCTCCCCTTCTTCCTCTCAGGAGGCGCCGGAGTCCGACATAACCCGTGCCGTTACCCCCCTCGACCGGGTATCCGTAAATGAATTCCCCAGCGTTGTTAGCGAATTTTCTCAGGTTGAGCCCGTTAGCTTACCTACCCGTCAAGGCTTAGCTGGAATTGGACGTTCGATCACGAGATATGACTCGTACCGTTTCAATATCCCCAAACATCTGATCCTATATCGTATCTACAGGTAGCATTTGATAACCACGGAAGTGAAATAAGGAAACGCTTAATCGACATTATAAGATTTGTTTTAAATAAATTAAAAAGAACGGAAATATCAGCGTTCTCATTTAGATAAAGACGGAAGTCCGATAAGGTTGCCACTGAATGGTTTTAAGTTTTTAAGGTAAACAATGTTTAGTCCATGGTCACGCGAACAGGTTTAGTGCTATTAAGACTGTTCAAAGATCCAATGAAAGTAATTCTGACAGCGCTTAGTAATGTAACCTTTAACCTTGTCCTGGCCATGATATTCTCTAGATTAGATGGACCTTTTCTGAATCATTGCAGAGAGGTCCAAAAAATTTGCTCGTAATGCGGCTATTGCAATCGTATGTAGTAGGTATGTTGTTGTTTTCTTTTATTACCGTGTCCTTACTAACTTATTTTTAAAAAATAACTGTTACTAACATTTATATGGATCATTATCGGAAATAAAGAATTTAATAATAATAATTTAAACAAAGATTTTTTGAATATCACTAGTTTTGAGAGCAGTGGTGTGAGTACCACCACCCTCTTATTTCCACTGCAAAGCAATACGGTTAGTTTTATTAGAATATTGATACTTCAACCTCATGTCTCAAAGCAGGCGATGACTTCGCAGGGAGTGTGGATTCGTTATTTTTTTTTCCTATCTGTGCTGGTAACCTAGTTATCCTGTGGGGCTATCCTAGCTTCACAAGATGTGTAGGCGGCGAGCTCACGGGGCTCAATCTGGCATATTGCTAACACTAGCCCTAGCAAGAGCAGTGTTTCGCAGAATCTACCACCGGATCGGGATCACACTGGGAAGATCCGGCAAGAAACTCAGTGGGCTGTGTCTATGGGTTAATTCGCTCGTCGAGCCCTTCGTCGCAAGCGAGGACGTTCGACGAGGACGGTGACCGGTGCTTGTGGTACCTAAAAGCACCGTTAATGGATCGGGAGGATTCGTAATGACTTGTTTTGAGCGACGTCGACTGTTTGCCATTCGGTCTACAGGATCGGGTATGTAGTTTCCAGCGGCCACGACAAGAGGGTTCTCATGTCGTGCCGCCTTCTCAAAGTCGCGCAATGATGCCGACTGTGAGAAACTCAGTGGACTATGTCTGTTCATCGTGAGAATTAATTTATTAATTATCACGATGAACCCTTCGTCTCATTTGACGGGTTCGACGAGATCGATGACCGGTCCTTGGAATTCCTAAAAACACCGATAGTGCATCAGAAGGATCCGAAGTTTACCGTTTAGTACACAAGATCGGGAATGTAGTTACCCGCGGTTAAGATAAAGAAATTATCTGATTTTAATAAACACTGATTTGTTCTCGGAATGCAACCGGAATGACAAAAAAATAAAACATGATTTGTCCCGCTTGCGTTCTTGGTAAAAATCAAAAGTGCGAGCGAGACAGTATTTCAATTATCAAGATACCACAATTAACGAAACTTTTTAAACTAGCAACGAATTATTAATATATTTTATGGAATATGTACGCAAACATTTGCGGTGGGCAGCGGCTTGGCTCTGCCCCTGGCATTGCTGAAGTCCATGGGCGACGGTAACCACTCATCATCAGGTGGGCCGTAAGCTCGTCGGCCAACAAGGGCAAAAAAAAAATCCGTTACTGTTTTTAATCTAGCGTTTTTAATTGTTTCTTTCATTGTATCCGACCTTTCGAATTGATTTCCCTAATCGCAGAATACGGAATTGTTTTTCGTCTCAATTGGTACGTTAAGCTAATTGTCAAAAATTACATTAATATATTTTACTTGACACTTACGTTCCTTTAAACGCAGAAAGAACTGTGAGTTTAGTGCGAGTTTTTTAACGTTCTCGATAGCGTAAAAGTTAACACAATTTTGTGTGGAGTTGGAACGTCTGCCTACGTTTGCCGCTAGGGGCGCTGTTCCGACGGCATACAAATTTGAATATACTTCTACGCGATCGAGACGTTAAAAATTCGCACTACGCGCACTGGTCTCAAAAATTGCCTCCATCAGTGTGCTTAGTGCGAGTTTTTAACGTTCTCGATAGCGTAAAAGTTAACGCAATTTTGTATGGAGTTGGAACAGCGCCCCTAGCGGCAAACGTACGCAAACGATCCCATTCCATACAAATATGAGCTAACTTTTACGCTATCGAGAACGTTAAAAAACTCGCACTAAGCACACAGGCTATAATCGTATTTCAAACGGTACAGGAATCAAAAAGTAGTCAGAACAACATACTCCTTGGTAAGAAAAAAAAAACTGGCGGGCTTAGCTCAGATACCAACATACAAAACTCGCGCTAAGCACACTGTAATAACAGCGCCTTGAAGCCTGATGTTTGACTTAGGTTTTCAAGTTCACGTCAAAAGGATATCAGGTGTAAGATAAGCGCCAAGCATCGTCTCGGTGGCAATTAGAAGGTTTTTTTTAAATTTATTATTGCAATGGCCTTTTGCACTACACGTGGACTTGTTTCCTTTATAGAGAATTTGGTTTTTGTCATATCTTATTGGCATCACGTTTAGGGAATATAGACGAACTGCTAATATGTAATACGGTTGTATTCTGTTTGACCAATAGGCATTTAGTTAAATAATCTGAAAATTGAAGGGCCGGCCAAAGGCGAAATAAATTTTAATAATTTTAACATTGCAATCCTGCGTTCAAATTAATAAAATGAATAAGAATATCAAAAATTTTTCGTATCGAAATTTATCAAAAGCCCCGGGAAATCCTATGAATTCGTTATCACAGTGATTTCAATTACATTGATTTCTCATATCGCCTTGATCTAGTTTTCAAAAGATAAAACATTCTTCAGATCAAGACTGTTCATTCAAGAAGCAATAGGTTCTTTAAATAATAAAAGTATTTTTATTTAGTTCTATCTCACTCAATTAGCGAGTTCATTACAATATTTGATTATCTACTGTAAAAGACGTTACTTTACCTGCAAGTAAACAAAAATTCTCGTATATCTCTATATACTACTTACTGGTGGTAGGACCTCTTGTGAGTCCGCACGGGTAGGTACCACCACCCTGCCTATTTCTGCCGTGAAGCAGTAATGCGTTTTGGCTTGAAGGGTGGAGCAGCCCTTGTAAGTATACTGAGACCTTAATATTTCTATCTCAAGGTGGGTGACGGCATTTACGTTGTAGAGGTCTATGGGCTCTAGTAACCACCATCGGACATCCACCGAAGCAATAAAAAACAATTCATTTTTTTTATTAAAGTATTATTGGTTATTATAGTTTCTAATATACCAAAATGATAATCACGACCACTCTGCCAAGAGTGGAATCAAGTGAGAAGAGTGAGAAGAATCGTATCTAGCTTAATCTGAGCAAATGTTATGAAGTATAATTTTGAAGTCGTCGTCGCGGCGGGTACCAATTTTTCCAATGAAATACGTACTTAACTAATGTTCACGATTGACTTCCACGCTGAAGGAATAACATCGTGTAATAAAAATCAAACCCGCAAAACGGAGACCTTAGAATTTATATCACGATAGTGGGTGGTGCATTTACGTTGTAGATGTCTATGGGCTGTGAGCTCGTCCACCCATCTAAGCAATAAAAAAAAATGAAGAGTTCGATAATCTTTTATCTTCAGTTTCATTTCCCCTACTCGCTCTGCTGCTGTGGGCGGAGCCCTATCACCGCGGCTACTTTGAAGATGACCTCTCTCTGCGACTGCCCTTTAAACAGCAGTCCATATCGGAAGGGCTCTTGGCTGGCGTCGGCTTCGCTTTCATTATTTTCACGGTAAGACCACGCAGCAGACGATTATATTAATAGTAATTAAATAATAATAACTTTCAATAAACCATGGAAAACATCGTAGTTAATCTGGGACCCGTCAGAACTTAACTTATATCTCAAGGTGGGTGGCGTATTTACGTAGATGTCTGTGGGCTCCAGTAACCACTTAACACCAGGTGGGCTGTGAGCTCGTCCCATCTACAAAGTAAACGCCGCCACCCACCTTGAAACATGAGTTCTAAGGTCTCCGTTTTTACAGTACAACGGCTGCCCCACCCTTCAAACCAAAACGCATTACTGCTTCAAGGCAGAAATGCGCGGGGTATATATCTTTAATAAATTCTAATGTAAACACACACGATGTCAACAAATAATAAGTTAGCAATGACTAAGGCGGTCTATGTCATCAAAGATATGTAAAAATTTAGGAGCATTGACAATTTTCGTACATATGAAATACGTCGAATAAAATGCCTAAATACTAAGGTGAAACATTATCTTTCACAGAAATTGAGATCAAAACCTAACCCGTACTGTTTAACAGTGTCAATGCCAACCGAAATTCAATATTTACAGGTTCTAATCACTGAGATAGTGCGTGACAGGCAAGGTAAGGGCATCGGCGGCAAGTTTCTGTCGGGGTCGCTGATACCGGGCTGGCTGTGGGAGACGTACTCGACCGTGGGAATCTTCACGTTTGGGGCCGCCTGTCAACAGCTCACAGCCAACCTCGCGAAGTACGTGATCGGGAGACTGCGCCCACATTTCTTCGATGTGAGTAAATTTAGTCACAGTAGAGATTCGGTTGTCAAAGTTTTTCGCCTATCTTAAATGCTTAGAAACACTTTCAGTTACAACAGGCAAATAAATCGTGCTTTATTCGTGTTTTAAGAGCTGTACAAGTGTTGACTGGCTCGGTGGTGCAATAATTAGCGCCCCTGTTGCGCCGAGGGTCGTAGGTTCGATTCCCACATCGAGCAACCTTAAGATAATAATAGGTTGGGGAAAAAGATTCTTCACATTTTTTAAGAAAATTCACAACATTTTTTAATATAGTTTATTTACATTTAACAAAAGTATGTAAGTACAATTTTGTTCGATAACTTTTTGTCATCTTGTTGGTAGGAACATGATCTCACTACTATACAAATTTTGGGGCTTCTGATCAAAATACAGATACAAATTTAGAAGACTTGATAGAAGATTTTGATACTAAAACCAGCCAGATACAAATAGTATAAGCCAAAGAGATTTTATTACAAGTTATAATGCGAAAAGACTTTTTCCACAACCTATTAAGTTCTAAGGTCTCAGTATAGTTACAACGGCTACCTCGTCAAGCCGAAACGCATTACTGCTTCACGGCAGAAATAGGCAGGGCGGTACCAGTAACTATGCAAATTATAATTTTGCGGGTTTGATTTTTATTACACGATGTTATTCCTTCACTGTGGAATCGTGAACATTTGTTAAGTACGTATTTCATTAGAAAAATTGGTACCCGCCTGCGGAATTCGAACACCGGTGCATCGCTACACACAAATGCACCTGGCGTCTTATCCTTTAGGCCACGACGACTTCCACACGACTTCGGGCGTGATTTGTTCCCGGTTATTTATTTCGTTATATTGTATAGAACTTGTTCAAATCGCTTCCAGGTCTGCAGGCCGATCCCGGACGCCGGATCCTCGCAGAACGCCCTCGGCTACATCCAGGAGTACCGATGTAGCGGTGGCGATGAGGCTCTCTTGAAGGACATGCGCCTCTCGTTTCCGAGTGCACACGCGAGCTTCTCTATGTACTGTGCCATATTCTTCATCGTAAGTATACTTCGTTGACATAAGAAAAAACACAAAACCAAATATAAGTATTTAGATTCTTTAAAAAAAAAATGGTTGTCTGTAATGTCGGTTTGTTAATGATAATTTTACGTGATAACATCAGTAGTAGAACTATTCGAACCGCTAGCTTTGACGTCACGCGAGAAGAGAGATAAATGTGTCACAAGCCAACGCTCGAACCGATCGTGCCTCTCTATCGCTTGTTCCGCGCTCTCGCTTGCACGCTCAGGCTCAGGCGGAACGTGACACTTTTTCGTACGTGCTGCCGATGATCATCGATTTATAAGACGTTACCATGTCAAAAAATAAGTATCGTCTAGGGATAACCAAGAGAAGTACTAACTTAAATTAATCTAAACCATTAAATATTGAAATTGTTTAACTTGAGGAAAGCTTAGGTTATTACTTAAACTTTATGTATATTAATATGATAATGTAAGCAAAATTGTAACGCAAAATTGAATTATATAATATATGAATTATATATATATATATATAAAGTTAGGAATTACATACGATCTCAGTACCGCTGCCGTATGCGTGAGAGAAAGGGACGCCAGACAGAATGGCGCCGTAACGCGTTACGTAACGATGCGGCTTACCCTCCCATAAAAAAGATCACTTCAAATATATATATTTTTTATACATAAAATAGACGGTAGTTAGCAAAACATTCAAATGACTGACAAAATATTCAGACACATCAAATATTTTTGGGTGGACGAGCTCACGGCCCACCTGGTGTTTAATGGTTACTGGAGCCCATGGATATATATAACGTAAATGGCACCGCCTACCTTGAAACATGAGTCAGTACTCTTTTACAGTATAATGGTTGCCCCGCCCTTCAGACCGAAACGCATTACTGTTCATTCACGGCAGAAATAGGCAGGACGGTGGTACTCACCCGCGCGGACTCACAAGAGGTCCTACCACCAGTAATTACGCAAATTATAATTTTGCGGGTTTGATTTTTATTACACGATATTATTCCTTCACCGCATATAAGTCAATCGTGTACATTTGTTAAGTACGTATTCCATTCTAAAAATTGGTACCCGCCGGCGGGATTCGAACACCGTTGCATCGCTACATACGAATGCACCGGACGTCTTATCCTTTAGGCCACGGCGACATAAGATTTATAAAGGTATTATTCATCATTCTTTCAGTTCTACGTCCAAGTGAAAGGCAAGTGGCGGGGCTCGAAGCTCCTCCGTCACGGAGTCCAGTATGCCGTTGTGATAGCGGCCTGGTACGTGGGCCTCTCCAGGGTTGTGGAACATATGCACCACTGGAGCGACGTGGCGGCTGGTTTCGCCATAGGCGCCACATACGCTATGCTTATTGTAAGTATATTTCAAACTATGTATTATAATTTAATTATATTTAGATTAATCAGTAATATTAACATGTTTTTATTAACTTAATATCCTAACCAGTATCAACAGGACGAAAAACAAAAAAGAAATTAATTATTAATTTTGTTTCCTATTTATACCAAATTGATCTTTTTTTTATTGCTTAGATGGGTGGACGAGCTCACAGCCCACCTGGTGTTAAGTGGTTACTGGAGCCCATAGACATCTACAACGTAAATGCGCCACCTTCAGATATAAGTTCTAAGATCGCAGTCAAGTTAACACGTCTGCCCCACTCTTCAAACAGAAACGCATTACTGCTTCACGGCAGAAATAAGCAGGGTAGTGGTACCTACCCGCGCGGACTCACAAGAGGTCCTACCACGTACTGTTTTTAATTTTGAAAATTATTTAATTTATTATTAATTAATAATAAAATGTAATAACATTCGTTTCGGAAATGTATATGTATAATAAATCTTATTTTTATCCTCTCACTAATTCTAAACATATTAATTATTTATCTAATTATTTACTGATAGCAATATTAAAATCTAAATTGTGATTGTGAGCTCTCACGGCTGGGTACCACTGTGTCACTGTTTCTACCGCGAAGCCATCATGTGTTCCGATTCAATCGGTGGGACAGCCGTTAATAAAATTCACATTACGACCTCACGTCTCAATCTGAGTCTCGTTGTGTTGCTCGTCTGCCTACAAGGGCAATAAATAATAGTTTAAAAAAAAACTAACAAAATACGCTAACATAGAAAATCCAACTAAAAAATAGAAAATAAATTTGAATTAAAATTAGTGTAAGAAAAAATGATTTTATTGTAAAAAAAACGTGGGTTGCTTTTCAGGATATTATCAAAATAACCCTTCTTCTACTCATATCTGTTCATAAAATGTTTATAACTACTGATACCATGCACCCCACGCTTTTTTTTACAACAAAATCATTTTTTCTTACACTATTTTTAATATAAATTTATTAAAATTGAATTTGTATTTTTAGTTGGATTTTCTATAAAGGCGTATTTTGTTAGTTCTTTAGACTATTATTTATTTTTCTTCTTTTAGATGAATTTAAATTTTTTTAATTTTTTTTTTTAAATATTGAGTTGTCATCAGCCTTTACGAAATTTTGAATTAATCCTACGTTTTGAAGGGTGTCAAAATCATGTTCAAAGATTTCGTTACATACTAACATACATACGTCCGAAGCTAATAAGTCGTCGTGGCCTAAAGGATAAGACGTCCGGTGCATTCGTGTTGAGCGATGCACCGGTGTTCGAATCTCAGGCGGGTACCAATTTTTCTAATGAAATACGTACTCAACAAATGTTCACGATTGACTTCCACGGTGAAGGAATAACATCGTATAATAAAAATCAAACCCGCAAAATTATAACTTGCGTAATTACTGGTGGTAGGACCTCTTGAGAGTCCGCGCGAGTAGGTACCACCACCCTGCCTATTTCTGCCGTGAAGCAGTAATGCGTTTCGGGACAGCCGTTGTAACTATACCTGAGACCTTAGAAGTTATCTCTCAAGGTGGGTGGCGCATTTACGTTGTAGATGTCTATGGGCTCCAGTGACCACTTAACACCAGGTGGGCTGTGAGCTCGTTCAGCCACATAAGCAATAAAAAAAATAAAAAAACGNGTAGGTACCACCACCCTGCCTATTTCTGCCGTGAAGCAGTAATGCGTTTCGGGACAGCCGTTGTAACTATACCTGAGACCTTAGAAGTTATCTCTCAAGGTGGGTGGCGCATTTACGTTGTAGATGTCTATGGGCTCCAGTGACCACTTAACACCAGGTGGGCTGTGAGCTCGTTCAGCCACATAAGCAATAAAAAAAAAAAAAAAAACGTTTGAAGGTAATAAAAGCGTATTAATAAAAAAAAGAACTTCCTATTCAATCACTATACTCCGGTTCCAGTTCATCTTCGTTCTGAAGCCGAAGAAGTACGGCGCACCAGAGACGTGGCAGCAGCCGGTGCCCAGGAATACGCTTCCCAGGCCGGTACTGGCGCGGTGACCGACCCCTTCCATTGCACCAACCGAATTTCTTCTGTGTAATATTACAAATGTAGATTATAACTAGTTTTTTTTTTTTTTAATATTAAAAGCACAAGCCAAACATTCCAGATTTTCAAGCTTAACAAACCATATTGCTTTTTGTTTAGTATAACTAGAAATCACGCCTTTACGGATCCATCAGATCCAATAACCATTGCATTAGACGCCTTCAGGTCTAACACTAGGTGCGGGCTTAGGGACCCCGGTAACCGTACTCGTCGAACTCGACAAAGAGTTCGACGTGCAACCTAACCTATGCATCAGCCCGCTGAGTTTCTCGCTGGATTTTCTCAACGGGTCGCGATTTCGACCCGGTAGTAGATTCATTCGCGAAGCAATTGCTCTTGAGTTGTTAGGTCTCCTTCGGAGGCGCTCGGGCAGCTGTTAGCAAATCCCGCCCCTCCTGGCTGAGCCTTTGCTCGCCCACCTGGCCTGGTGAAACTGGAAAGGCCTCCGGGACACAAGTAAACTTTCAATCATAAAAAGAAAAAAAAACTAGAAATATTTATGCGTATTAAAAACTAATTTTACGCTTTTAATCTCGTGTTTCCTCTTGTTATTCGACCTTTCAATATTGAGCCAAGTAATAATACTTACCGTTTTCAATAAAATATTTAAAAACATTGACATTTACTTTTCTTCATCCTCAGAAAAAAAAACTAACAGCTGTTTGAGTTCATAAACGCGGGATTAAACCGTAAAAATTGTTTTAATTATATTCACGACTCGCGAAAACCGAAGTTAAACATTAAATTCTATACGATGGTTACAAGACAAGATTTCTTTGTCACGACCGAATTTAAAAAAAAGTACACGAATCTTTGAGTAAGTTTTTTAAAGTATATTTTAAGTTGTTGTTTTTTTTTAAGTTTTTACCTATATGACTTGCTATTATTAAATCATCATTATCCTGTCTAATGTTGAGTTTTGTACAAAATTTTAATTTGCAACAAATAAAGCTTTATATATATATAAAATTAAATACAGAAACTATTAGCCGACATTAATGAAAAATTATCCATGAAACAAGTTATAAACCGACCAAATTTAAAAAGCGTACAATCGATGTACATATTCTATTCTCAAAAGGTTATTATTTCATTTAACATCCTTTTTTATTCTATGAATATCTCTTATTTGACAGTTAAAAACTTCTTTCTTTCACCTCTTCAATATGTTTTTATTTGTTGAAAATTTTTTTTTAAAAAGAACCGCTATGAAAAATTTACGCACGTATTTATAGAAAAGTTTAGTGTGGCTTATGATGAATGCAAAATTATCAATGCAAATAGCCCGTATGTACATATTATGTCGTTTTTTTTACTTAGTTACAGAAATGAATAGTCAAAAGATCTGTTTGCTTCGGATTTTTTGACATTTAAAACTATTTGAAGAATGCATAGAATGAATAGAATGCATATTTTGAGTCATTGACCGTTTTGAATGAGATATTTTGTATCAAACACTTCCGAATTAGGTAGGTACATATCATAGAGTTAGTTGTAGGTACTTATTAACGTCATAGTACATCATATATAGACCGTGTCTAAGTACTTTAGAAATTTTAAGACCAATAAATTTTAGTTTTTTTGTATATGTATAATGAATTTTAAAAAAAAATTAAAATGAAAATCTAGTTATTACAAAAGGTATGATAACAAATGCTTTTGTGCATGCTTTTGAAATAGCTTTAAAAAGCGTTAAACGGAATAGATATTTTTCCTGATATAACTTTCAGTTGTAACAATGAATATTGTTTGCATTGCGATGACGTTACATATGTCGCGGGATGGTGTTATACAAAACTTAACCAACATAATAAACTACTACTGGCTTTTATTAATAACTAGCTGACCCGGCAGACTTCGTAGTGCCTCAATCGATAAAGAAAAGACCTAAGCTTTTGTATAAAATAAACTTAAAACAAACAAAAGGAATCCGTCCGACGGGGGACACATCAAAGGAAAAACAAAATTGTAATTTTTATTTAATTTCGAGCATTTTCATATTTATCTACCTTTTAAACCTTATCTGAACTTCCACAAATAATTCAAGACCAAAATTAGCCAAATCGGTCTAGCCGTTCTCAAGTTTTAGCGAGACTAACGAACAGCAATTCATTTTTATATTATATAGATTAGAAGTTCATCGATTAAATAATGAACGTGGGTAAGATAATAATAATATCGAAGGGTGAAAGGCTATTTGTTTTAAGCGTCATTTCGCTTATCTTTGTAATTAATAAGGCACGTTTTATTTGGTATTTGTATCAACAGTTCGATGTTTTTAATTGAACTTCAATTAAATTTACTTCATTGAAATAGCTGAAGATTGCCGACTTAACCTAATAGGTGCATGGCTCTAATAAAGAATAAAAAAAAAATAGCTGAAGAAGTATTTTTGCCATATTTTTTCCAAATTTTAAACTTTAAATGGCTCTCCTGTTAAGTTGGAAAAATGTCGCTTATACTAAATAATATTTTACCTTTCAATATTTTACAAACGTCGAACTTAGAGAGAGAAAAAACATATACAATTACCGTTCACACGTCTACAGAGTATCTGATCCAACCGAATGTCGATAAAAAATAAATTGTCGTATTTATAAGAGTACATATATTTAAATTTTGTAAATTTTTATTTTTAAGCAGCATTTTTGTTCTAATAAAGAGTTTCATATAAAATACGTTTGTTTTATTAATGGCCATCGTCCATAGTGGAGAGCCACATTGAAAAGAAAAAGAAATGGTTTGATATAATCTATAAGTTTGTTCCCAATTTACTTGCATAGGCATGTCGGTTTTCGAGTTTCTCTTTAATTATTTTAAAGTTAATATAAATTGAGATTATATAGATTAATGGAGAAAGTAGTGGTTCGTCGTCTAATGAAAAAAAACTACACAGAAAAGTATTATTTTTCTTTCTAACTAAATAATAATTAAGCCATTTACAGGTTCACCACGACGAAGGAATTACGTCATTTAAAAATAATATTCAAGACTTACAAAAATTATAAGCTTCGTAATTAACGAAGTCGTCGTGGCCTAAAGGATAAGACGTCCGTTGCATTCGTATGTAGCGATGCACCGGTGTTCGAATCCCGCAGGCGGGTACCAATTTTTCTAATGAAATTCGTACTCAACAAATGTTCACGATTCACTTCCACGGTGAAGGAATAACATCGTGTAATAAAAAAACCAAACCCGCAAAATTCTAATTTGCGTAATCACTGGTGCTAGGACCTCTTGGGAGTGTCCGCACGGGTAGGTATCACCACCCCGCCTATTTCCGCCGTGAAGCAGCAATGCGTTTCGGTTCGAAGGGAAAAAATAATGGGGGCGTCATGTTGAGATTTCCACTGCAAAACAGTAATGCATTCTGAATGTAAATTTTTGTTACTGAGCGCCTGGATTGAACTTTGCATTCTTTTGTATGTGTGATTTAGTCTTTAATGCCTCTTAGAAATAGATTTATTTTCAGTATCTGCGGATTCGTCTTACCCAGAGTCTACTAGATATTCCGGCGCCTTAGTAAGAATATCGAAGAGAGAATTCGACATAATTGCTTCAGTGCGTCGCAGAGGGCACCGGTGACCTACAAAGCAGTCAAAGTGTTAATGTTAAGATTAAAATTTCTGTAAGAATAAGTAAACAGTGGGTAATGCATCGGTACTAAAGTTCTTAGTGTATTTGGCGATAGCGACGAAGGAGAGATCTTCCACCGAGCGGATCAAATTGCTCGGTGGTCTGACGGTCCGAAGGTTAAGTAATTTATGTTTGGAACTTTCAAATATCCAAAATTATCTTGAAAATGTCATTCGATAGATTCAGGCATCAGTCAGTTTCTAGTGACCAGAATACATCAAATCATAATCAATAATCCTATATAGATTTTACATTTTAATTAATAGAGGACTCTTTTGAATTCTCGGAAATAAATAAATGAAGTTTTTTTTTTTTATTTGAGTATTTTTATTAGGCACACTTATACAAATACTTACACAAAAATACTCAATAAAGAACAACAAGTAAAAAATAAGGCATGTAAAATAAGCGCATGACTTTTTTTTTGTTTATTTATTGCTTAGAGGGGAGGACGAGCTCACAGCCCACCTGGTCTTAAGTGGTTACTGGAGCCCATAGACATTTACTACGTAAATGCGCCACCCACCTTGAGATACGCGTTCTAAGGTCTCAGTATAGTTACGACGTGGTTACAACTGCCCCACCCTTCAAGCCGTTTCAGCTTTACTGCTTCACGGCAGAAATCAAGATCAAGACAAATGTGCTAAGTACACAATGCTCCTTCCAATTAAAGGATAAAATAATATCACTGGTACAAAACTGGTGGTAGGACCTCTTGTGAGTCCGCACGGGTAGGTACCACCGCCCCGCCTATTTCTGCCGTGAAGCAGTAATGCGTTTCGGTTTGAAGGGTGGGGCAGCCGTTGTGACTATACTGAGACCTTAGAACTATAGCTCAAGGTGTGTGACGCATTTACGTTGTAGATGTCTATGGGCTCCAGTAACCACTTAACATCAGGTGGGCTGTGAGCTCGTCTACACAGCTAAGCAATAAAAAAAAAAAAAAAAAATCATAACGAAAACTAATCTAACTTATAATGTTATGAAAGTAATTGATAAAACAAATTAATCTCGTCATCGTAACCATTCTGGAACAGATCTATGTATATTTTTTATGTTTACAATATTTTAATGATAAAACTAATTTTAACTAACACGATTTAATTCTGTTATATTTAATGAAAAACAAGGAAGCACAAGCAGCGTGTTATAGATAACGCATATGTTTTGTTGTGGTGACCATGATAACTGAAAATTTGAATATTATATTTTGTCTTCCAAAAAAATCAAAAAAGCACATGTGTACATTAGTTGTGTCAATTTTCGTGCATTAATACTTTCATTAATAGGCGACCATGGATTCGGCTTCCACAACAAATAAGACTTCA